TCTTCTTATAAAAAATTCTATTCATAGAGGCTCCACCATCTTGATCTAATTTCCTCCCAAAGGCCTCGCCTCCAGATACCATCCTACTGAGGATTAGGTTCCAATATATAAATGTTAGGGAGAAGCATACATTCTATTTAAAACAATCTAATTTTAATGTTTTCTTGGAATTCTATTATATGGTTGTTACATAATTAATTTAACCTTATCCCTATTGTAAGACATTTAGTTTGCTTCTGATTTGTTCCTATTATAAAAAATTATGTCCTTATATATCCCAATAGTAATTTTCTATTTTTGAATGGTACATACTATTTATGCAATTTAAATAGTTTTAACAGAATTGTGAAATTTCTTTTCTTTATCCTTTAGCAAAATCATCTGGGAGAATGCTAGGATTGTGAGAATGTGCATGTCCATGTGCCCATCCTTGTAGGTAAGTCTGTGTAGCCTAGAACAATTATCTGTTCCCAACTCCCTTTTAGTGCTGCTTTTCACCTGTAGCTATTCAATATATATCCAGGTCCAAGTCAAAGGAAAGATGCCGGGAACTGAGATCTACAAACTTCATTGTAGAAAATCTTATGAATACCATGAAGTGTTTTCCTATGTTGAACAAATTGTAATGGGTTCATATACTCAAAGGAGATACATATTTTACATGCAATTGCCTAAGTACTGCCCAGAAAGATAGACAGATTCAGATTTCATGACCTAGAAATATGTGAGAAAGTCCTTGGAGTAGTAGAGGCTATGCCATAATGGGCTTGCATTAAACCCACTTTCAGCCATACGGTTATCAATAGATTTAAATACCCAACAAGGAAGCAAAAGACAGGGTAGAAAAATTGATATTGGCACAAGATCTGGGTTCAATTAGATTGCTCTTTTACATTCTCTCCCTCCATCTAGATCCTGCTCATCCTCTGAGAACCAGGTCATAGTCTTTTTACACAGGTGAAGACCCGAAAGTCCCCCTTTCTTTATGTCTTTTTCAAAATGGACTCATTTGAAGGAGGTTCTGACTTTCCAGGTGTCATGTGGGTGTTCTGACTCAGGAAATAGGTTTGGGGTCCTGCAGGTAGAAGAAGATGTAAGATTCGATTAGTATAGTAGATATGCTTTATTCAATGGTAGTCACAGTCTTCAGCCTCCAGCTTCATCTCCAGCTCCTAGCCAGTTCCATTTTAGTCCTCATTTTGCCCCCATTAGCCCATTTGGCCTTTATTAACCCTCACGTCTTTTCCATAGGCCTTTTTTATATGCAGGCCAAACAAAGAAGGGACACTGCTAACAGGTTACATAAAGGGAGTGCATACTCACAAGTTAAAGTTTATGACCTTGACAACTGTCAGTACATATCACTATGGGGGTTGCCTCATATGCTATCACCATTTAGCTCAATTCACCGACTATTTTGTCTTGAATTAGTACCAAACCAGACAATGTCTGTTTTTGACTACAGAGCCACTGACATCCACACAGATAATTGTCCATGGCTGGAGTCATCAGTGTATCAAACACTGAACAGTATAGGTGTCTTACCTCCAAGCTATGGCTTGTTTATGGTTCACCTACAAAGGTAATGGGGCCTAGCACCTCCTGAAGTCTGTTTCTCCCGCCAGCTTCTGGCACACTTGAGCCCCCTCTTGGCTCCTGTCAGCTTCTGGAACCCCTAAATTTCATAGGCATAACAAAAAGGTGGCCAGGAGCTCTCTTGGCCTCCATCCAAATTATTTTCCCAAGTCCCCCCGGCTCTGCTTGACAGGCTGAATATAGTGAACTTGGTTCCTGAGCCTAGCTCTGCCGTCAGCTGCCCATCAGCTGCTGCTGCTTAATTTTCAGCATTACCACTGGCCAGGTTTGCAGGCATTATTCTTCCTCATCCTCCTGGGACTCCATTAGCACTATGGGGGAGGCCAGTGGGTATTTTCAAGATATTGGAGATTCTCCTCCAGTGACTATACTCTGGCTCTTAAGGCCTCTTCCTTATCTTGTAACTCCCTCATCTTGGCAGTCTGTGATAAAATTGCATCCGTTTTTGCTCTCAGAGCTGTAAGAAACATTTATCCCACAGCCCCAGCAGCCTTGTGTGCAATTAATTCCTCAGTCTATTTCTTTGTTTCATCTGCACCACCATTGCAATCTTTGTTCTTGGCTGCAGGCTGGCACCTGTGTTCTGTAACCCATCATTCTGCAGGATGGCACCTGGGTTCTGTAACACATCCTTCTGCTGAGTCCATGTTCACCACAGGACAATCAGAAGTATTCTACATGCTTACAGGAAATCCATCCATTTTATCCCAACTCTACAGAGGATATCATGCTAATAGGACCTTGGCAACCAAGTGCTACATGCTGCTTGGTGGCCATAGGTCCCCCCTGTCTACTGGGGTTGAGGCATCTCTCACTTGAGGAACATCCTGCCAACTACACCAGCTGTCAGGCGATGGCTTTGACCCAGGAAATGAATTTGGGGTTTGGCAGGTGGAAGAAGATTCCAGACACAGTTAGGATAGTAGACATGCTTTATTCAGTGGTGGTCACAGCATCTAGCTTCAGCTCCAGCTCTAGCCAGGTCCATTTTAGTCCTCATTCTGTCCCCATTAGCCCCCCATTAGCCCATTTTGCCTTCATTTACCCCCACATTTTTTCCAGAGGCTCTTTTTATATGCAAGACAAACAAAGAAGGCACACCACCACCAGGTACATAAGGGGCGGGGGCAGGGCACATGTTCACAAATTAATGTTTACGACTTTGAGAATATACACTGAATCAGAGTGTTTCTGGCCTTGACTAACCAAAACATAGCCAGTTCCCAGCCCTGGCTACACACTAAAAACATAACATAGCCCATCAGAAGTCTTAGTGAGGGAGCCTAACCATAGCCATTTTGAGCCTGCCCCAACACCAGGTATAACATCTAGTTCCCCCTGTTACTATAATGAAATACCTGAGACTGAGTATTTTATAATGAAAGAGGTTTATTTAGCTCACAGTTCTGAAAGTTCAAGGGCATAGCACCAACATTGATTCCCTCTGGTGAAGGCCTCTGGCAACAATACCCCATGGTGAATGGCATTACAGCAAGAGTATGTGAGGATAGATCACATGGTGAGACAGGAAGCTGGAGAGCAATTCAGGAGCCAGGCTTGCCTTTTTATAATAACCCTATTATGAGAACCAAAGAGAGTCCCATGAAAAATCACATCAATTTCTTTTGAGGGCACTGCCCTCAATGACCTAATGACCTAACAGTAGGACCCATTTCTTAAGATTCCATTACCTCCCACATAACCACACTAGGACCAAATTTCCAATATATGTGCTCCCTTTGGGGCACACATAAGCCATATTCAAAACATGGCAGGGACTAACAGCTCTCTCAAAGCAGAGTTCTGTCCAGCAGTCCCAAACCATTATATATTGAGTTCTCTAGGGATTAAGTGCACACATTTCCCAGAAGATATAATAATGTGATCAAAGAGCAGTGAAATAAAATCTCAAGGCATGTGGGGTATTTTTTTTTCCTTTCCACAGATCCATTGAGCTCTTTATTTTCCTTCACAAAGGGGCATCAAAGCTTATAGAAAACAAAAATATGTTTTCTATATGTTTTTGTGTCTCCTGCTATTGATACCATATATATATATATATATATATATATATATATATATATATATATATATATAGTTGGTACCAGGGATTGAACCCAGGAGTGCTTAATCACTGAGCAACATTCCCAGCTCATTTTGAGATAGGGTGTCACTAAGTTGCTTAGGACCTTGCTAAATTGCTGAGGCTGGCTGGAATTACAGGCATGTACCACCATGCCCCATCAATAACCAATATTTGTTGAAGACTATATGAGCCAAATGCTTTACATCAGTGTTATTTATCGTCAAGACTTCCCAGAAATTAACTAATAGACTTTTGAAAAAAATTTTAGTTGTTGATGGATCTTTATTTTATTCATTTATTTATATGTGGTGCTGAGAATTGAACCCAGTACTGCATATGTGCTAGGCAAGTGCTCTACCACTGAGCCACAATCCCAGCCCAACTCACAGTATTTTGATATCAACTCCTTTCAGATGAAGAAACTGGGGCTTACAATGTGTACCTGACAATTGATCAATTGGTGAATCTTCAGAAAGCACAAGTTATTGGAAATGCCATCACAAGAGTTCTAGAATCAAATATCGTTTTTCTTTGTTTTACCCGAATAAAATCATAATAACAGCATCCCGCCACCTTTTTGTTTTGTACTGGGGATTGAAACCAGGTGTACTTTACACCAGCCCTTTTAATTTTTTTATTTAGAGACAGGGTCTTGCTAAGTTGCTTGGGCCTCACCAGGTTGCTGAGGTTGGCCTTGAACTTGTGATCCTTGTGCCTCAGTCTCCCAGTATTATAGGTATATGTGCTACCACACTCAGCCATGGTGCACTTTTAAAGCACTTACTTTATGCCAAACACTGTTCTAAGTGCTTTATATATATTAATTAATGTAACTAAAGTAATTTTGTGTTTGCTTTTTATGACTTAAAAAATAGGACTTACTTTTTAAAATGACTATATAAGTATTAAAAATAGAGCTAAAGCTGCATTCAAAAATCTCACTACTGTTCCATGCTCCTTTTAATTTTTACAACTACTGCCCAGCCTACCTGGCTCCAAAAGAGCTAAGGACAAGAATGCAGATGAAATGGAGGCTGGGGGAGGGACAATGGATGGAGGAATTAGGGATCCTAGAGCAGCAAACAGGAAAATTCAATTATTGAAAAAAAGTAGAAAAGTTCAGTAGCTCCAGAAAAAGATGCACCCCCTCCATGGTAATCAGAGAAAACAGCGAATAACTTTTTTTTTCTCCTTTGGAATAGGCAATAACAGAAAAGACTGACGGGGCCAAATGTATAAGAGGCGGGCGGGGAGGGAATCGAGGGCGGGCCCATATCTGCCGCGCTTTTGGTGGGAGTGGAAATTGGGGACCCGAGCTCACTGGTGACGTAGATCTCATGTGACCAGGAGTCGACGTGTGCAGAAGTCCTGCTAGTCTGGTCCTTGTTCCCGTCTGGGTACCAGCTCCCTTCAGCAGTGCAGGCGGCAGCGCCGGAGGCCAGCGGAAGGACTCAACTTGCTGGAATTTTGCAGGTTGGTGTCAATATTGATGTTGTCTGGGGATTTCTTGTGTGGGGTGGTCCTGCGGTGGAGACTTAAAGGAGTCCCAGGGAAGTCCATTTTTCCACCCTCACCTCCAGATCTGCAGGAAATGATGACCCTTAGGAAAGGAACTAGGGGTCCCGAGAGAAGATAAAGTAGACTTGTGAACATCAAAAAAAAAAAAAAAATAGTCATCCTGTGAGATCTGACCCCTTTGTCGACATTCACCCTGGCCGCAAATCCTGCCTCAGTTTTAAAGATAGTTTGGAAATAATCTGCTCTTCCCACTCCCTGGATAATGAGAGACGAGTTAACTTGCTCTATGGCGAAGAGGCGAACTGGGGAAAACAAAAGATGGGAAACTTTCCATAACTGAAACCTTAGATGAGAAAAGCTACTTGTGCCTGGTCTCGGGTGCTGGTCGGCCCACCAACTACTCGCCCCTCCCCCACCATTGCCTCCCTTCTCGGGTTTGTCCGCAGGTCTGTTAGAACCTTCCGAGGCCATAAAAGTAGGAGAAAGAAGCAGACCGGATCAATACCAGGTAAGTTAGAGGAACAATATAAAGACTCTGGGGGTGGAGGTGGGTGAGGGTGGGGTTGTAGGCCCCACCGTCCCTTCTCCCCTCCCCCTCCTTCCTTTCCCCCTCCAAGCCAACCTTCTGCGTTCCGGGAGGGCCCCGTGAGGGAGAAAGGGTTGGGGAGGGCTGGGAGGCGGGAAGGAGGGCCTTGGAAAAAGCTGGAGGGAGGGACGAGAGAAGGGAGGCGCGGCGGAAAGTGGAGGTAAGAGGGCGGGGTCAGGGAAGCACTGATTGCTGACTGGGCTTCTCAGGTGGAAGATATTTGATGACGTCAGCTCTGAAATAAAAAAAAAAAAGCAAATGCCGAGCCCCTCAGTGTGGAGCACCTGTACATTCTCCAAGCCTATGAATCATTGTCTCCTTGTTTCCTAGAAGTAATTGCATTCAAAGAGGAATAAGCAGGAAAGAAGAAAGAGAGGCATAAGATGAAACCCTGTCAGAAAACTGAAGAAAAACCAGACAATGAGAATGAACCAAAGCTGGAGGAAGAGCCAAAGCCTGAGGAAAAGCCAGAGGAAGAGGAAGAACCAGAGGAGGAGGAAAACGCAGAAGAAACTTTTAGAGAAAGGCTGATTCAATCTCTCCAGGATTTTAAAGAAGATATACATAACAGGCATTTGAGCAATGAGGATATGTTTAGGGAAGTGGATGAAATAGATGAGATAAGGAGAGTAAGAAACAAACTTATAGTGATGCGTTGGAAGGTCAATAGAAACCATCCTTACCCTTATTTGATGTAGTTTACCTTGATTTCTGTTTTATCTGACATTAACATTGCTATGTAGCTTTCGTTTTATTAGCATTTTTCCTGATATATCTTTGCCCATCTTTCTACTTTTAACCAGTTGCTATTAGTGGTTTTAGATATAGCTCTTGTTATCTGCATCTCATTGTTTATTGTATTTTGAACCTATCTACAAGTCTCTGTCTTTGAATAAGAGAGATTTACTCACTGTAAAAAAGAAGTTCCTGTTAGCATATAAAATGGGGGGAAAAGGTTATTAAATAATATGTGAATATCATATTTTTGAATAAGGTAAAAGTACATTTGTATATTACATATATGCTCATTAAAACTTGGGAAGAATAAGAGACAAAAAGTTAAGGCAAGCTGGGCATGGTGGCACAGGCCTATAATCCTAGCAATTTGTGAGGCTGCGGCAGGAGAGGAGGACCACAAATTCAACACCAGCTTCTGCAACTTAGCAAGATCCTGGCCATAAAATAAAAAAGGCTGGGGATGTAGCTTAGTGGAGAATTGAACTCCTTTGTTCAATTCTCAGTGCTGCCAAAAAAAAAAAAAGTTCAGTTTCAGTGATGGGATTATGAATACAATCTTCTGCTTGTTTGTATTTTCCATATTCCTAAAATGAATACACATTATTGTTGCTAAAATAATAAAATTTTATAACTAAAAAGCAGTAACCTATAGCATTTATCTGTTTATTTCTGAAAGTACTGAGGCACTTATTATTCGTTGACCAAATATTAGAAACAAATGTGAACTTCAAAGTACCACCAGATCACTTAGCTGAAACATTAAATTTTACATCTTTTCTCATCAGTAAAATAACAATCTCACAGGAATCTCATAGGAGCCAAATTAGGTAATTACTGAGAACAGTTTGACAGGGCTTTGTCTCCATCTGCTCATGCAGAATCCAAACTCCCTAAGATTTGTTTCAGCTACTTGAAAGGATGGAGAGTAGTTTCTCACCTCTATAATGCCTTGTTTTTTGGGGGAGGGGTGCTCTTCATGCCTCCAGAACATACTTCAAGGTTACAACAGTCCTACAGATGCTGGTGGGGTTAGAATTAAAGGTGGAGTGAGATAAATTTCAGGGGCTCACTGTGCCATTTTTATAAGAAAAGGAAAAGGCAGCCACCTGTTGTTCAGAAGGGGAGTGATCAGGTAGGATGAGGAAGGGCTCCCCCAAGTCATACTCCCCTCTAGGTGGGTGTGACTTTTCTTTCTCTGCCTCTGGGCTGTTTGCCAGGCTGTCCTAGACAGGTTTGTGTAGAGGAGGACAACAATCTCCTTTGCAGGTCAGAGTTCTAAACTTCCTTTCCCCTTTTTCCTTCTCAGGAGGGGCTTGAAGGGAACTTTTTATAAGGATCAACATAGTACTTCAAAATTCACTAATGAGAAACATTAGTAGTGGGTAGTCTTTGTCCCAGACATGACTGCTCTGGATGTAATCAGATGATTAGGGTTTAAAGTAGCAGGGCCTGATGGTAGGGGAAGATGATTATTGATAGTACACAAATATTATAAATTGTAATGTTCATGTACTAAATTGTTAATAAATGATTTCAGTTTAAAGCAAGTGATGTTAGTTTAGATTTGGGTGATGTTATAAAATTTCCTTTCCAAAAATTATTAAAATTTCATAAATGAGTCAGTTTGAAGTAGAACACAATATTAATAGCATGGGCGGTACACAGATGTGGCAAACTCATCCTGGTAGGAAACAGTTCCCTAGCATAATTACTTTAGGGCTAATGTCTGCAAACACTTGCCAAGAACGGAAGAATCTAAAGTTTTACCCTACTTAAAGCTAACAACTTAGCCTGCTACCGTTTAATGGATGCTGGCAGAAGACCTAGACTTCTGGGTCAGAGATTAAGGGCATTATTACAGCAAAAGCAGTAGGCAGAGATTCGTGTTGGTTTGTATTGGCTCCCTTTGATTGCCAAATCTCATGGGTCAACATGGGACCCATGATGAATGCTTGAACATGCAGTGCTTTGCATGACAGGAAAGAAACCCTGAGTTTGGGGAACTGTCTGTATTCATACATAGTAAGCAGAAGCAAGCATGCTCTCTGTTCAGGGAAAGATGTTTCCCCAGCCCTCAAGGTTACTTGCTGCAAACCCACTTGAAAAATTATCTGCCTCTGCGAAGAATGGTCAGGGCCTTACATTCTTGGCATACCCAATAAGAACATGCAGGGACACTCAGTCTTTGGCAGATTGCCACTCCCAATAACAGTTTTCTTAGTACAATAAATCCTAATGTCAATTGCAAGCATTAAGATAAACAGTCATTAGCCAAGCATGGTGGCGCATGTCTGTAATCCCAGGGGCTTGTGAGGTTGAGGCAGGAGGAACACAAGTTCAAGGCCAGCCCTTGGTGAGGCCCTAAGCAACTTAGCAAGACCCTTTCTCAAAATAAAAAAGAAAGGCCAGTGTTGTGACTCTGTGGTTAAGCACCCCTGGGTTCAATCCAAGATACAAACAAACAAAAACACGAGAAAAACAGTCATTGAAGAACTTTAAAATTACGATAAGACAAAACTACCATGGCATTCCTTAAATAAAAGAGGTAGAAGGGCAAAGTCAATGGATTCATCAGAAAAAAACACCAACGACAAGAGTAATCTTATGCAAAATTTTTTACTAGGAAACTGACAGGAGGATGTGTGTTTGAAAATCAACCCTAGATCCCATATACTAACCTCAACGTAGCCTCTGTGAAAAGGAAAAACTAAAAGAAAAGCTTTTCTGTTCTCTCTTCAAGGAAAGTTCAAAGTAGGGTAAAGGCCAGAAAAGGGGGAAGTTCACTCACATCACAGTACTGAAAAGCAGTTATTTGATATTCTGTCACTGGTATTTTGCAATAGCCTTAGGAAAACATACTTGCACAACTGGATGGATAACTTAGTTGGGTAGAGAGCATCTTTTCATGTGCTCTTTGGCCATTTGCATATTTTTACTTTGAGAAATGTTTATTTAAATCTTTTGTCCACATCCTCCTTACTATTTTCAATATAGTGTTGGAAAGTATCTGTTTAAAGAAAGAGGTAGGGGGGCCAGGGTTATGGCTCAGTGGTAGAGTGCTTGCCTAGCATGTGTGAGGAACTGGGTTTGAGCCTTGGCACCACATAAAAATAAACAAATAAAATAAAGGTGTTGTATCCATCTACATCTAAAAAATTATTTTAAAAAAAGAAGGAGGTAGGGCTGCAGATGTAGCTCAATGCAGATGTAGCTCTTGTCTGGCATATACAAGGCCCTGGATTTGATTCCCAGCATTGCAAAAATAAACGAATAAACAAAGGAATTAGGTAGATTTGTGTGTACGTACTATGTGTTCACCATGCATTGTTAAAGAATGAAGGATAGGAGGTACAGCACAATACATATACATGTCCACAAATATCAAGATGACTAAAATAAGGGATCATTTATTTTTAAGTGGCAGTTTAGTATCTCACCAGGAATCCTTTGTTCTGGTTGTTTAGGAAAAATAATTATTTTTAAAACTTTTCCTAATGTGTAATCCTATTATCCTTACACTTTAATTATCAAATTAGTTCTTGAACTTAAACCAAGTCCTTCCCTTCCATGAATTCTGAGTTCTTTTCTAGCTGTTTTATCATTAATGTATTATTTTATGGAAAAGGAACAAGAGATTTAGCCAAGATTTCCCAACTATTAAATGGAATCTCTGCTCTTAATCACTACTCTGAAACAGCAAGTATTTAATAAATGATAACAAACGTGCTATGCTGAAGGAATTCTATCAGTTCCTCAAAGCTCCATTCTTTTTCAACCATTCATATTGGTTTCCATAATTCTCCCTGCCTGAACCTAAAATGGAGTTCTTGCTGCATAGGCCACAACCATCTACTGGGCATTTAATAAAATAATGGTTTACAATTGTAAATATGTACATTTTCATCTCAGAAGTATTTATCAAAGACCTAAGAGCTATTCTCAAAAATGTAACCCTCAATAGAATAAAACCTCTGTCTCCAAGACTCCATGGGAGAACAAAATCCTAACTTTAAAAGTTACCAACCAACAAACACAACTGGGGTATTCTTATTTACACACTAACTGACCCTTTGTGATTTTTATTTCTCTGACTCAGCCCTAGTGCTCAGCCTTAGTTATTTGCTTTTGGTTGACTTTAAAAGTCAATAACTCTGGAGGTCACACAGCTAAGCTGTATGTTATTAGTATACCACTAGCTTTGCTATAGATAATACCTCTGACATGTGGGTCATGATGACAGGATGCCTAGGTTATTTTTTCAGGAACTGGAAGGCCATTTTTGTGAAAACCACTAACTCTTCACTTGGGCATATGCAGGGGTCCAATGGGTGACCTTTTGGTGTCAGGAGGCCAAAAACTCCACCCTCAGATAATGCTTATGCCACCATTTTCTGAACATATTTCCCATGAAAAAGCCATGAAGATTGACTATACATGTTCAGACCACTGATTGCTTCATCTCTGATCACTTTTCCCCATACTTTAAACCACCCTGTTTCTTTACACAGTAAACGTCCTCAAAACCTATCCTCAGGGAGGTGAAATTTGAGACTTCTCTTTCCTACCCTCATACTTGGCTGCCTTATAAATAAACTCTTTCTCTTCAGCAAAACTCATTGCTTCAGTGATTGACACACTGTGTGGAAGGCAAAAAGGGCCTGGTTTGGTAAATACACTTAGCCTGAATAATTCCTACTCATCCATCACAGAATAAATGTTACTGATTTTTATGACATATTTATTGAGATACAATTCACATACCAATTCACTCACTTAAAGTATATAGTGCAAGGAACTTGAGCACATTCATAGATCTGTGTAAACATCACACCAATCAATTTTAGTCCATTTTTATCAAGGGAAAAAGAAACATTATAACCTTAGCTATGACTCTTCCATGCCCCATCCTCCCCAGCCCTACACAAATACTAATCGGCCTTCTGTCTCTAGAGTTTTCCCTGTCCTGTATGTACATATAAAATATGGTATCACATAGCTATCTTCATTTAATTAGCATAATATATTTAAGTTTCATCCATGTTGTAGCATCTGTCAGCACCTCATTCCTTCTTATTGCCAAATGTTATTCTATTTGATGGTTAGTCCACATTTTGGATATGTATACTGGCAAGGATACGGAACTATAGAATCTCTCATTTATTGCGGGTAGTAATGCAAAATGGTACAGCCAGTTTGGAAGACATTTTGGCAGTTTCTTACAAAGACAAACATGCTCTTGCAATATGATTCATAGAAGCCTTTTCTGTGGTATCTTGCATCTAGACATTGTCACAGGTAGTTTTTGTTGCTGTTTGGTATTTATCCAAATGAACTGAAAACTTATGTCTACACGAAAACCTGAACACAGATGTTTATTGTAGTTTTATTCATAATTGTAAAAAAACTGGAAGCAATAAAGATAAACTTCAATGAGTAAAAGGATAAGTAAACTGAAGTGCATCAATATGATGGAATATAATTTAGCACTAAAAAGAAATGAGCTATTAAACCATAAAAAGACGTGGTGAATACTGGGGATGTACTTCACTGATAGAATACTTGCCTAGTATGCACAATCCTTAGCATTGCCAATAAATAAAAGACTTGAAGGAATTGTTTTTATTTTTAAAGAGAGAGTGAGAGAGGGAGAGAGAATTTTAATATTTATTTATTTTTTTTAGTTCTCGGCAGACACAACATCTTTGTTTGTATGTGGTGTTGAGTATTGAACCTGGGCTGCAGGCATGCCAGGCGAGCACGCTACCGCTTGAGCCACATCCCCAGCCCAAACTTGAAGGAATTGTAAATGATGACTACTAAGTGAAAGGAAATGATATGAAGAAGCTACCCATTTTATGATTCCATGTGACATTCTGGAAGAGGGATGGAAAAAAGATAAGGATTACTAAAGGTTGTGGGGGCAAGGTAGGGTTCAAAGGTGAAGCACAGATGGTTTTAAAAGCAGTGTAACTTGTCTGCATGATACTATAATGATGGGTACATGTTTTAGGCAGCGTTTTCATTGCTGTAACCAAAAGATGTATCAAGAACAATTAGACAAGGAACAGTTTATTTGGCTCATGTTTTCAGAGGTCTCAGTCCACAGACATTTGACTCCTGATTCTGGGACTCAGATGAGGCAGAACATCATGGCAGAAGAGTGTGGTGGAAGGAAGTAGCTCAGAACATGGGAACAGGAAGCAGAGAGAGCTCTGTTCACCAGGGAAAAAAACATAAACCCCAAAGGCACAGCCCCAGTAACCTATTTTCTCCAGCTATATCTTATCTTCCTGCAGTTACCACTGAGTTAATCCATTCAAGTAGATTAACACATTGATTAAGTTAAGGCTCTCGTGACCCAATCATTTCACCTCTGGAAATTCTTGCAGTATACTCATGAGCTTTTGGGGGACACCTCATATCTAAACCATAACTGTATGTCATTATACACTTAGAAAATCCCATAGAATTGTGAACACCAAGAGTAAACACTAATGTAAACTAAGGACTCTGAGTGATAATGATGTTTCAGTGTAGGCTCGTTAAC